TTAGGAAAGAAATGAAGACGTCAAAAGGAGAGAAAGCTTTTTAAAGGTTCAGATTACTGTCTTGAAACATTCTCCACCTCTGAAAAGGACCTGCAGAGGAATCCTTAGGCCTCTGTGTTCCCTCTTTTCTTCAGCTTTTGGTACCCCCTGCTAGTGAAATCCTAGACCCAATTGACAAGAGTTGCCAGACTAATAGAGAAATACTTGCAAGTTCAGAAAAGTTACAAGTACTCGAGTGTTAAAGGCCCTGCAGGACCACCCCATGAGTCATAGGACTATTTTATGATGTTTGGCTGTTTTGTTTTGTTTTTAATGTTCTGTGACTTGAATACTCTATGGGATCCAGAGTTTTGTTTTGTTTTATTTTAAAAAGACTTCTATGAACACTAATGCTGCAAATATTCCAAGAACAAAATGCTGAGTTATCTACCCAAAACATCCCAAGGTACATGTATTCCAAGGCCCAAACTGTTGCCATGCCGGGTGTTCCTTCTCTTTGGTTGCACTTATCTACTTTTGAAGTGGTTATAATTTGTACTCAGAGCAGGATAACAATCTTTTCTCCACTTCAAATCATAGACTTTTAAATAGAAATGTGTGCAACAAATTTATTGAGCATGGGCTGTGTGCCAGATACTCAGCAAGAAACTGGAGTGGATACAAGGAGTCAAAAGCCCTTCTCCCGAGAGGTGCTTACCCTAGTGGGTGAGAGTTGAGTGACTGTCACAAGAATGGAGGGGTGCTTAGCTGACATGGCATCAGAACCTTTCCTGGTCTCCTGCCAGAGTTCAAATCTAGAATTAACTCTCTCTTGGCACCAAACACTTCTCAGCATTCTCCCTCTCTGCGATTTTACATTTTCTGTGCTTACCTATTCCATGCTTGCCTTTGTCATTTGTCTCTGGGCTTGCAGAGGGTCAAGGTGAAGAACACACCACTTTCTTACATTTAACAGAGCCTGATACATGTGTGTGCTCAAATATTTGTTCGAAGAATGAGTCAGCCTGAGAGGAGGAAGTTACGGTTCTGTTAGTGGAGCACCAAGAAGCCCCAGAGGAGGTCTGATCTTGGAATGACTTTCAGCTTTGAAAAATGAAGCGAGGTGCGCAGTGGAGAATAAGAACATATCAAGGCCATGAGTATTGAGCATCATGGGGTGGGGGACATAGTTGCTGTTTACTAGGAAATGTGAACAGGAGGTTAAACTGAGGCCTAGACCATAATTTGAAGATTTTTTTGGAGGAGAATGCCGGTTGTTGGTTCCTGGCCACCTGGCTATCTTAGACCCAAAATAATCACACAGAAACTGTTAAATCACTGCTTGGCCCATTAGCTCTAGATTCTTATTGGCTAACTCTTACATATTAATTTACACATTAATTTAACCCATCTCCATTAATCTGTGTATCACCACGTGGCAGTGGCTTCCCAGCAAAGTTTCGGCATGTCTGGTGGCAGCTCCATGGCATCTCTCTGACTCTGCCTTTCTTTCTCCCAGCATTCAGCCTTCCCTACCTACCTACCTAAGTTCTGCCTTGCTATAGATCCAAAGCAGTTTTTATATCCATTAATGGTAATCACAGCACACAGAGGGGACTCCCACGTCAGAAGATCTTGAGTATTTTCAGATTTGGGTTTTCTCCAGAGAGGGCAAAAAATTAAAACAAAAGAGAGAAGTTAAATTCTGTGATGATGGCAAAATATACCTATTTTTTTTCCTGTTACTAGTATTATTTTTAATGCTTAAAAATTTGAATGCCAGCTGTGAGTTTGTGTTTTCTTTTCTCCTGTGCCTCCCCCATTTTCACCTTTAGGGCTGGTTGTGTTTACCTATTGACAAACCCTCACAGTGTTTGCCCATCACCAATTTCAGCCGCAAGCTTCAGCTGTGGGTTCATACCCAGTAGCTCAAACCACTACTGTGGTTTGGAGGAGCTCCACCCCTCCCACAGAGGACTGTGTGTTAGGCCCAAGGCCCCAAATCCAGTGTTGTAGGTGCTTTGGAACTGTAAGACTTAGTGAAAAGTCCTTAAGTCACTGGGGTGACTTTTCTGACCTCAGCCTATCTAAATCACTTTGTTTCCTGGATCCTATCTTGAGCAGCTTACTCTGCCATGTACATAGAAAATGTTCACTCACTAGAAGCAAAAAAGCAAGAGGGGCCAGCAAGTCAATGACTCCTAAGCAACCTTGCCTCTTTCGAAAAAGATAAAGTGAGAACTAAATCTATTGTCATCTATGAAAAATCTATTATGCAATCCCAATACTGCTTTAGCTGTCAGGTGAGTACACATACATTTATGAACATGTTTGAAAGACTTTAGAAAAAGAAAAGAAGTTCATTGTCTCTGGTATTTTTTTATGTAAACCTACCTAACATAGATATCATATAGCTGATACTTATAGATTACTTTAAAAATTTTTAAATACCTCCATGTTTTGGAGAGGCTCAGTTTTTCTTTTCGTGTGTGTGTGTGTGTGTGAGAGAGAGAGAGAGAGAGAGTATGTATGTATGTATGTATGTATGTATGTATGTATTTGGTTCTACCTGAATGTTTCTATAAAATGTCATTTTTCTAAGAAGTAGCAATATCTTTTTTGGATATTATTACTCCTTTGGAAGCCAATGATTTGTGTCGAAGACAACTCTGTCTATATTATTTACCCTGAATGGAATGAGATTGACTGGAAGTTCTGCCTCCAAGGAAATAGCAAAGCTCTGATTCATACTCATTTATAGTTTCCAAGTTAATTCTCTTATCAGATTTCCTTTTATTTCCTGCTGGGGCAATGTGAGTGAGATTGGATGGAGGCAAAATACCTGCTGTATATCCTTTCAAATTTACGATTAAGAAGGTCACATATACATTTTTAAACAGACTCCTTTTTGATAATGAATGAAGAATAAAATTTTGAAATGTCATCAGCTACAAAATTATTCGTTTTTCTTTTCATTGGTGTTCTCTTTGCCGGTTGATTGTCTGATGATAACGAGAGAGGCCCAGGCTGGGCCAAGCTGTATTTCTTGTCTTTCTTTTGACCACCTGGAGGAGTTTCAGTAGAGCACCATCTCTGCCTGTGACCAAACCATTAACGACCCAAAACAAAATGTGTTTCTTTCCTTGAGTGCAATTCCGTCCCCAGGCCAGGTTTTAAGAATAAATAAAGAAAGAATTCTACTTTAGGCTACATTGATCTTCAAATTATGGCCAAATAGGACTCTAAAAGGTATTCTCTTCTCTGTTCAGATTCCCCATGTCTTTTTCTCTGCCATGCTTCCTACTGCTGGACTGTGCTCTGCAGGGACTCAATTGGAGGGGTCCTGTGACACTTGTAGCTTTTAATTGGGTTCAGTTAATGAGAACTGCTATAAGTAATCAGAGAATGGGGAAAGGGGAATTAGAATATTGTGGCCTGTAATAGTATATTATTTGTATTTTGATAAATTTTGCTTAAAGACCAGAGGTAAAGCTAAAGCCAATAGAGGTCAGGCAATGGTGACACACACCTTTAATCCCAGGATTTGGGAGACAGAGGCAGATGGATCTTTGTGAGTTCAAGGCTACCCTGTCAATGCAGAAATAAATCCAGGTAGTGGTGGCTCACACCTTTAATCCCAGTCCTAGGGAGTCACATGCCTTTAATGTCAGCACTAGAGGGAATATAAATAAGAGAAGAGAGAGGCTTAGTCTGCTTAGTTTTGTAGTCACCTAGCCTTGGTAGGGGTAAGACTTCTCTAGTGACTTGGCTGCTTTGCTTATCTGCTTTTGGGTTGAACCCCAATTTCTGTTTCTGGGATTTTATTATTTGTGCTGCAGTGGCCAATGATTTCCTCTCTGTGTGCCCATGTAGCACTGACCAGATCTTCTCTGTGTGCCCATCTAGCACTGACCAGGTCCTTAAAGAGAAAAGCTTTCTCTTTTCAACTCTCTCCTTAGGGGCTCTGATTATGGCTTCCTCTGATTATCCCTCTGGGCTCCTAGGTGGGAAACAAGGTGTCTTGTCTCAGTGCTATATCATCTTGCTGCCCCTATGATCTTTATAATAGTCCTTTCATAAATAAATATAAGTGTAGACTGCTCTTTCATTCCCACCCATGCAAACCTGAATAATGAAACAGAAACTTAAAAATTAAAATGTATATTAATTGCAACACTGTTTGATCTATTAGTTCAGGATTCTTATTGAATAACTCTTACATCTTAAATTAACCCATTTCTATTAATCTGTGTATCACTAAGGGGCTGTGGCCTACCGGAAAGGTTCCTTCAGCAGCTACATGGCATCTGCCTTCTTCAGCAACTACAAGGCATCTCTTTGACTCCACCGACTCTCTTTATATATCTTTTCCAGCATGGCTATATCCTGCCTTGCCATAGGCCAAAGCAGCTTCTTTATTAACCAATCAACCCCCACTTCAGTCTGCTGCTGTGTGGTGAATTCTTTTATTAGTCAATCTCTGAGGAAAGCTGCACTGTATCTCTTATGAAATATCTAAACCCTATCAGCTGAAATTCAAGTCAACTACATCTTTAAGTCCATAAAAGAAGCCTTTGACCTTTTAGTTCCCTAGGAAGGAATAAAAATCTTGGTTGCTTGGTATAATTCAAAGAACGATAATTCCACAGTGGGACTTTGGAGGGGGAGGGTGTTTTGAGGGATGAAGACAGAAGGGCCAGCCTGAGCTTTTTTCCCTCCAAAAAAAAAGTAGGGAAAGCATCATCATAGAGCCTGATTGATTTCTCATTAAAGCTCAAATATATAACATGCTCATTGTTATGGATAAAACAACTACTAAATGAAAATGACTTCTAGTTTCAGGAAGGCTTTTGTTTACTTGACCCTGACAATGGAGAGCCTGCCTTGCCTCTGCTTATGTTGAATGAACTAAATATGGTGTTGAGAGTGGGGGATGGGGAAAGAGAGCAGCCTACCTTCCCGGTCCTCTAATGCAACTAGACCCATCTGACTGTGATTTTTCCCTTGCACATGTCCCAAAGGAAGCTGGCTAAGAAGCAGAAGGAGACACAGAGTGGAGCCCAGAGGGAGATGGGCCCCGTGGCCTCAGCTGACAAGCCCACCACCAAGCTCAGCACCAACCGCAATGATGAAGGCTTCTCCTCCAGTTCTCAGGATGTTAATGGATTCAGTAAGTTGAGTCAACTAAGGTGAATGGAGTATCAGTGGTCACTTTTGGTCCTGGTGCCTCTCCTGTGTACCACTCACAATGACTAAGTCCACTAAACTGTGGGATCAGAATGCTTTCCTGGGATATCAGAGAGGAAGGGTCTTCTCCTTGACAAAGCTTTGGAGTAGCCTAACCTGATGTAAAAAAAGAATATGGGACTAGGGAGGGGGTTCAGCCAGCATGCTACATGACCATGAAGACCTGAGTTTGGATCCCCAGTACCCAAAGAAAATGTTCTGGATGGCTTGTGGTAATAAGCTCAACACTGGGGAGATGGAGGCAGGAGACTCTCTCGGCTTTGCTGGATAGCCAGTCTAGCCAAATCAGTGAGTTCCAAGTTCAGCGAGAAACCCTGCCTTGAGAAAGAAGGTAAGGGGTGATTGGAGTAGTTATGAGATACCAACTGCTGATGTATACACAAGCACACACATGCAAATACATGTGAGCATACACATACACATAAACCACACAACCAAAAAAAGAGAAAAAGACTGAATCTATGCCTAAGCAGATGGAATGGGAACAAGTCATCTTAAATAGAGACAGGTAGTTAAAAATAATAATAGTGACAAAGAAGGAGGAGGATTGTGACCTTAAGGCAAAAAGCATACTATACTGAATTTAGTAGCTGACAATTTTTAAAACTATTTCACATTTACTTTGTAAGGTAGATGAGTCATGGAATGTTTCTCTCCGTGTCCCTAATAGTTAAGAAACAATTTCTAAAGTCCCAAGGCTGCTGAGTTCCATGTACCTACTGGAAGCCGTGCCTCCCGAGTCCTAGACGGTTCTATTGGGTCAAAACTATCTTCATCTTCATGCAGAATTATTAAGGCATCCTTGGCTAATATAAGTAGTTTAGGTTCCAGAGTTGACTCATTCAAAGGAGGACTCTGAGGCTAGGTAGTTAGAAGCCGAGTTTGGTGGCCAGGTTTGAAAAAGCTGCCATCTGTTCTGATCTTTCAGCCATGCTATAAGCTAGTTCTTTCCTGGATTTAGTAATAAGATAATAATTTTCACTATATCTTGTACATTATAGACAGAAGGAACCGCATTTTGTAATGATCACTTTAGATATGGTCTGTCTGGAGGATGTGGAGTGATGAGAACATGAAAGAATAAAGGAAATGTATATATATATATCACCATCTTTGATGCAGACACTCTCGTTTCATTTCCGCCATAATCCTACAAGATACTTAGTGTTGCAGATCCTATTTCATCTGTAAGATACGTTTGCCTTAGCTTCCAAGCACTACACAGATCATTTCTCATGGATTTAAGACCCCTAAGCTGGGTATGGAAAAAAAAAAAAACTTGGGAGGTTTTCCAAACAACATCTTCTTGTGGATGAGATACAGGGCAGAGACTCAAGGCTGTGGATTTTATGCCACCATCCAGGTAGTTCTTAGAGACACTCTTTAGGAACACAGCCTCAAGGAAGGCAATTATGATTTTCAAATATAGGTGTGCTGTCTTTGAAGGGAAAGGTTAGTCTAAACCTACCTTCCCCCGAAAAAGGCTAAGGAAAAGGGATACTCAAATCCTTTACCCCCATTCACCAACTGGTCACATTTTTTAATATTGGCATCTGGTTACACTTTCTCTCACTAAACCCAATCTTCTGAGCTATTTAGAAACAAAGTTGAAGTTTTTGGAACATCCCACCTGTAGAGATTTGGGTATGTGGATTCCCAGGATGTAAAATAGCTCTTCAACACACCGCAATAAAATTAATCTTCACTAAGAAGTGTGACCTTAATCCAATGATATCAAATATGTTCATCTGCAATTAAAGATCTCTTGCAGCCCCAGAATATTCTGCTTCCTTCACTGTCAATCAGGATCCAGAGAAAGAGCTCATATTCCATTTGGTTTGTTCTCTCTGTCAGCTGTCCTATAATCCCATGACTTTATTTTCTCCGGAATCTGACATTTTTCAAAGCCTGATGTGGTAGTTCCATAGAATGGTCTTCATGCCGGAGCTCTCTGATTTAGCATCATATTTCATTTAGACTAATCATAGTGGGGAAAGATGGTGGTATTGTTTACTGCTCTAGACTTTATCAATAGCCACATGATATCACTCTGCCCCATTGACAATGCCAAGTTTGAATACCTCTTAAAGTTGGATAATGGCTTTTACAATAAAAATCTAAAAGTATACTGATGATCTTACTAACAGATATTTAATTTTTTGCTTCTTCTTAGTGATAAGAGGCAATTTGTGATCTGCTTTATCCTGCACACAGCCCTTTCCTTCCTTAATCTGGGTGAATTGCCTAGATCATGTATTTCTTGGAGATTCAGAAAGGATAGGCAGACAGAGGATTAGAAAGGCACAGAGGAGCTGCCTGAGAAATAGGTGTAGCATGGCCTTGAAGAAAGGTTGATCCTGAGTTGTCTCTGGCCCTTCTACTTTGAGCATTGCAAGTTTTTCTTGCAATTGACCCCAGTGGTACTTACCCAGACCAAAGCTCTTCTGTATAGCCCAGCCTCGTGTGCACACTTATTTTCTTGTTATAAAAGCATCCCAGAAAGGCATCAGATGCTGAAAGATTATGGTCCAAGAAGCTTGACAATCACTGTGACCCTGAAATTGCAGGTATTTAATCTCAAGCTTGCTAGTCACATGGGAAAACAACGTAGGTCACACTGATTTCTTGAATTTCAAAGAGATATATCACCACTGTGTGCACTATGGATGAAAAGTTAGATCCTCGAGATAAAAATACTGAAAACTGGGTGGATTCTTCACTAAAGAGAAAGGGGACGAACATTCAGTGGAAATCTGATGAGGCATTTTAAAATCAAGGATAGTCTTCCCAACAATTCAGTGTATGTGTTGTCCATATTTTATATTTGAATACACATGCATACATAAAGCTATATATGCTCCAATGTACCTGTGTATACATATTTATTTTAATGATATTCCTTTTTCAAAGACAGAAAAAAAACAACTTCCAATTGACTGGTTATATTCAATTATTATGAAATCTTGCATTTGTTTGAATCACTGAATATTTTAGATTCTTTCTAGACATCTAGCATTGAGGGCTGTGGCTGTAAACACACTCTGAAGATTATTTTTTATTTTTTTGAATACCCTAAAATGCATCAGGTAACTTTTAAAATGCCCTATGGAACCACTGGGATGAGATTTGAGGGGGAAAATGTAAGTAATGCTTACACTGGAGATGTAGAAATTGCTTCTAAAATCACCCTGATGTATGTAAAATTGAATCTATTTTCGTGACATTAGGGAAGTGGCTGTCTGGCTTCTGAATCGGCGTCTTTAAGAGCGACTGAGATTATGTGCAAATTTTGAGGCAGCACTGAGAGAGGAAGGACAGGAGAGCAGTTGTTATATTGGGTAAGATTGTAGAAGGACATGCTTTGGGCAATTATTTCATTATTGAGCAGGTGAGCCCTAGCTTTATTCAAATTCTGCGTCACCCTGCTTAGGTCCGTTTTCTGGCCTTATCTATTATCAGTGACGGCTACGTTTGGCAACATCTATTCAGTCAAGCCTCTCGATATTGTATAGGAACAATGACCTCTGGGACAGCAGGGTGACAGGGCCCTGCCAGATATGGGCTGTTGTTTTGAGTGCTTAGGCATTCTTTTAAAAAGCAGTGCATGGAACATTTCAAGGACAAACAATGCGCATTGTTTTCCATTTAAAGAAAAGCTGGCTTTTATTAGGTAATCTGATTGTGATCTTGGCTGCTTCGAGTACTTGTAATTTTTTTTCCTGTGATCTTTAGCTCACTGGGATTGTTTTCTAGGGCTTTCTTCAAGTACCTGCCTTATATATCATGCTTACATCTGCTTCATCTTGTGTATTTGCATGTCTTCTCCTGGCTCATTTTCAGACTAAATAAAAAGCTTCAAAGCAAATCACAGTTGTAACCTTATAATGCGGGAGCTTAGCTGGTCACCTTTCTCATAGTGCATTTGGGCATCCTTGCTCACTAGCCACCATTGACTGCACTCCCATGGAGCTAGAGTTACAGAAAATTGTAAACCACCTGATGTGAGCATTGAGAAGCAAACCCGGGTCCTTTGGAAGAAGAGCAAGCAAGACCTTTTAACCACTGAGCCATCTCTCCAGATTCCAGATAAATATTTCTATTGGTGCAACACATTTCAACAGTAAACCCTTATTTCCGTGTCACAGATAATATGGGTTTACTACGCTATCTATTCTTCATGTGGGGAAACTGAGGTATAGAGTACATGTTCTTTGACAGGTCATAATTGGGACACATTTTCCTTGTATCAGTTAAAGCCTATCCATCCAGTTCTGCCAAGAATTTAGGAAAATACCCAACAAGAGCACCCTTGATTAAAAAAAAAGTAGCAAAAAAATTAAGATTAAAAAATTATAAATAAAAAGAATAAAGTCAAGTCAATGAAACATTATCATATAATTATATCATAATTGAACCTAAATATACAGGCTAGATCATATTAAAATCACCAGACATTAGATCATTAAGTGCGCTGCTAAGTCAGGAGCAAGCTGAGAAAGCAGTTAGAAATGAGGAACACACCTCACGAATACATATTTTTCAAAATGTACTTATCACAATATTTTTTATTTGTGGATGTAGATGTGTATGTATGTGCAGGTGCCTGCAGCAGTTACTGACGTTTAAATAGCGATCTGTCTCTTGACTTCCTGGTAGCAAACACTAGAAGAAGGTAACTTGGAGGAGTACCTACTATGCACTGGATCTTTTCAAGATTTTTTGTGAATTATTGTCAAACCTCCTCAGAAGTGTGTGATTTCTATATTACCTTCATTTTGAAAATGAGGGAACCAGGTATGGGGCAGCTAAAGTAAACAAGCCCAAAGTCACAGAGCACAGAAATAGTAGACAAGATTAGGAGCCAAATAGGGTTACCCACCCTCATGCCGGAGTCATTCATTGTAGCTTAGCGATTTCCAACTC